TGTATATATATATATATATATATATATATATATATATATATATATATATACACACACACACACACACTGCATATATGTGTCTGTGTGTGACAAACCATTATAGCTAACAGAGATACTGTAATGTGACTTACAGTGATTGGTGATTAAATCCTGTAGAAAGCGACTGCCTGCCTACATCCACTGTCCACTAACATGTCATTTGTCAACTGTAACACAAGCACCAGTGCGGTCTGCCTGAATCCCACCGTGGCTATTTCATTTCCCACACAGGGAAAATCTCCATTGCGGTCTTGAGTTCGGAACTCCTCAGTAGTACCATTTGCTGACAGTTATCGTCAAGCTATAATTCGCCATCCTGCACCGTTGAGAAAGGCTGTTGGGGAAGCTACTGATCTCAGTGCCCAGTCTGACGCTCTGTGTGTCTTTGATTGGAGGTTCACCAACCTGTTAGACTGACCATATAGCTGTGGGGGCCTCGATCAAGCCCCCTAACCCCAAAAACTGATCCAGGTTTGGGACAAGTAGCTGACCCTGTACTCAAATATGTGAAAATATTTCTGTCATTGTAAAAATTGCAATAAAAAATATATAATGGATAATTGTATTATCCAGCTTTGCAGTAATATACAGGAAGTCATTAATCCACAATCTGTTTCCTGCAATCTAACTGAAGCTGTTCAGACTTCACATTCCATCGCATGAATGTCTGATAAACTGGTTTTGGGACATGATTTTAGCAGAATACAGAGAATGCTGCAGTGGTTAATCCAAATGTTCTAAGATTCAAGTCATTTAGGGGAACTTTTCAAAGGAAATTTTCTACCTTTGAATATGCACAAAAGTTGTTAAGTAAAGAAACTGATCTTTGTTAAAATATCTGCATCCATGTGAGGTGCCTGGGGTGATGGCGGCCTGTCTTCTATGTCACCAATCACTTCTGTCTATAAAACAGCTATAATTCATAATCATTGTGGGACATGGAAATTACAGCATCCAAAAGCAGCTCAGATTCAGTGCATTGAAAACATTTTTAGCTTATGGAAACTGAAAACTTGCAGAGCTTGCCATGGCGGTGAAAAAAATCTTATTTGTCTGACTGGAGATCTGATACATATGGAAAATTTTCAGACCCTTTCAAGTTGTCTACATTTTGTTATGTTTCAGAGTCATCTTAAAATGGATTTAGTTCATCTTGTTATAATCAATCTGCACACAGTATTCCACAATGACAAAGCAAAATCAGATTTTTGGAGTGTTTTGTTAAAATATTAAGAATAAACTGAAATGTCCATTTACACAAGTATTCAGACCCTTCCCTTAGTATGTGGTTAAAGCACCTTTTGGCAGCAATGGCAGCCTTAAATCTTTTTGGGAATGACGCTACAAGGTTGGCACACATTTCCTTTTGGACGTTTCTCCCATTCTTCTTGGCAGAATTGTTCAAACTGAACCAGGTTGAATGGGGAGTGTCAGTGCGCACAAAGAATCCATTTTAAGATGAGTCTGAAACATAAAACATGGACTACTTTGAAAGGGTCTGAATCCTTTGTGCCTGCACTGTAAAATCTCCCCATTCTGGCCCAGCTATTCCCTTTTTGTGCCTCAAAATTTTGTAAAATGAAAGTCCCCTGGTATGAGTTTAATCTTTGCTAAGAATCAAATGATAGCTGCTTCCATTGTCTCCATTTGTCTCACACATCAAAAATAGTGTCAATCGCAGCCATCATCTGAGCAGGCAAAACACGCAAATGGGAAGCTCTGCCTGCCATGCGTGGGATAGTCATCCACCCATCCATCTCCTAACCTTCTACTCTGATCAGAGTCACAGGGTATAGTTCACGCCTATAATTAGCTAATTTAAATATAGACTAATTTATTCAAAACAAATAATTTTTTCAATGACCAAAGAATGGAACTTTGAAGGTCATAGGTGCTTTCTATGGAGGTGGTTGATCACATCCAAGAACAAGCAGCACTCATCAATTTAAATGTCAATGAGATGTTATAAAGAAAGTTAAATCACAATATGTAAATGTGAGACTTGCTCCAGGCAGGAAGGTAAACAAAGCAACGTGACATGAGGTTAAGGGGAAGCAAGAGGGGTTTGTTTGGGGATAGGAGAGGAGATGGGTGTAACATAAGCATTGTGGAAACAACTGACAACAAAAGACAAAAAAGATCAACTTCATATAACGATTGGGAACAAGATAGGTGATCCATGTCAGAGCAGACATTAAAGGGACTGTCTGAAACAGTCTGAGGACTGTACAACCATCTTAAAGGATGAGCCAGGAATGAATCTAAAGATGCTGAATGCACAAATATTCTGATTAAACTGCAGGTCAGATCAAGAGGTTAATTAATATTGACATTGTGTAACTTGTAGACTATCCAGCACTTCCATGTTTTATTGCAGCACTTGATTTTTGGTACGACCTTTTATTTTCTTTCTAATTTTTCTCAAAATCCAGCCTCCCTCTGCCTCTTTCTCCTACATCAGACATGATGAATTACATAAATCCGCATCACAGCCAGGACATGGGCTTCCCCTGCTGATACCAATATTAACTGACATGACAACCTCCTCTTTATCCCAGACACTTCTGTCTGTGTGGAATAGACTGTCCTGATTTTTATAGGTGGAGCAACATGTCTCTTTTCTAAAATTAACACACTGTATCGTGGCACCAGGTGGGAATTATTGGAAAACACACCAATAAATTTCCCTCCTGTGCAGTGCTTGCGGTGAGGACATGCAAAAGGTGCACTTGTGCATCATGTTGTGACACCCCTAGGATTTGGGCTTTGGCCAATACTACAAAAAAAAACCACAAAGACAAGGCAGGGGAGCATGATGCGAGTGGCTGGACTCTTGTTATGAGCATCGTGGCTCTCTGAACATTGCAGAATGAATGATTGAATTTTGTACAAAAAAATCTTAAATATAAGAAATTATGTGTTTCATAAACACTTTCACATTAAATTCCCAAATCTTACATTTGCCAAATAGTAACAACGTACAGTGTGAGAAAATAGAAATGAACTGAATACAACACTGTAGCCTGTTTGCAAATTATTTGCAGATATTGCAAGTAGTGATAATGAAGCTCAAGTTATTTCATTTATTTAAAAAAATGATTAACACTATTTTATAACATGCATTTTATCTACCAGAGTTGTAGTTATTATAAAATTTCAGGATTTTTAGTTCAGTTATAGAAAGATTGTATTTGAAAAGCAAGCAACATCCAAGCTTCAGTCATTTTATGAAAATAAATAGTAAAAAATATATTCTTCTGCAACAGCAGTTTTGATTGTGGTGCTCCTTGTAGAATCCGTGTCCCACATGATTTTATATTATGTTCTGTTGAACCTGTTTGGAAGCTTCTCCTGCTATTTGTGAAAGCACCATTTTCCTGGCACCTCATAAGACTAGTAAACATGGGCTTTTCTATGCTGAAGGTATGTCCGGCTTGGTCTGGGACTGTATGGCCCTGCTTTACAGCAGATGGAAATGAGCTCTGAGCCTAAAGACACCCAGCTTTCTTCCTGCTGCCTCCCTGAAAAGACGCCAAAGCAGAGCACACAAGAGCTACCCTCCAGGATATGCTCAGGCAGGGCAAGCTGTCCTCGTGTGAGAAATCGCTCCTTGTCCCTTGTACACAATAAACAAAAAAGACCCTGTCTGATGATCTCATCCAGCTTTTGATGAAGGCTTCATGAATGAGGTCACTGAAGGATACTAATGTAGGCCTATGCACTGGATCCCACTAGTCCAGCTGAATTTGCCATAAATCTACAGGGATCCTTTTGTTTGTTTCTATCACATTACCGTATTCTCTCACCGCAAACAATGCTTGGAGGAGACTGTGCAAAGTGGCTCACGGAAATGTCTTGGACCTCTTCCTGACTTGTACCATCAGTAGCTATACAGAGACCGTCACTTCCTCAACCAAGGTTCAGGTTGCACAGTCACAGACTTCATTGTGTTAGATGAAGACTTCTTCAGAGATTGGGATACAAGATATTTTTGCATCTCACATAGCTCACTAGACCCTCTAGGCAGGTCTAATCGAAGAGGGGCTCTGTTATTACTGAGTCACTGTACTGTACCTTGGGAATATGGGGGATGGGTAATGTTATCTCTATGTATTCAAACCATCCCTGCTATAAATTTTGTAATGCCTGACTGCTGATGCCTGTTGGTGATACTGTCTCTTTCAGTGTATGCATCAGTGAGCCTCTACCTCCTTCCCCAGAGACCGGCTACCCTCATCCTTTATGATGATGTGGTTCAGGTTCTGTCAGGAACCCCAGGTGAGTGTCCATATGTCCGTCTCGGATCTTCTGAGCTTCAGTTCTGGTGAAAACATTATTCTTAAGCAATTTCTGTAATTCATGTCAACTTCTGGAGTCTTCCTGTTGGGAGAACCTCTATGTCCAACAGAAATTATTAGCTGTTATGCAGTTAACTATGCAGTTAACTAACTGCTGTCAGAAACCAGATTTATGTATGTGTGAAGGTCTTCTTTTCCGCAAATGGTGTAAAATTTCCGGAGCGATATCTTGAAATTGTTTGAGTCCATGGGGAAGACTTTACTAAATAGCAGCTGAAATTTGCAGTGAACGATGACAGTGTCCAGAAGCAAAGGGTATTTTTTTCTTCTTTCTTGTTGACCCACAATGACATGTTAAAAAAGAGCATCAACGGGGTCATAAATTTAAGCCTATATAAGGATTTGATCCAACCAGTCATCTTCCCACCATTTTACCGTCCCACCATTTTACCACAGAATTGGCATAACTAGGCCTGAGGACAGATTTGCCTTTTCTGCATGCTTCTTCAGCTAGGCCATGATATTCCAGGCCTCAATAATTTGTCTCCCTCCAACAGGCCACCCTTATCCAGTCCAACACATAACAGGGCAGTTTTATGTCTTGGCGAGCTCGCCCGAACACTGATTATGGCCGTTAATCTGGGCCGTAAATTATGGTGTCTTTCCATCTGTGGGAGGGCAGCTGAAGAGGGATCTTTACACACAGCATGCCCTATCTCCTGAAAGATCTGAGTGTTTGGGCCTGACGGTGCAGTGAGTGGGATGTCTGGTCCCGTTCAGTGCTGTTTAAGCACATCGTATTGACTTACATGAGCGTGCTCAAAGGGAACTCTGTTTAGTACACAAAACCAATTATTCCTTGTGACACTCAGCCAAAGTATTTTTGCTTGTTCACTGTTGTCCATCCATACCCCAGGCGCATCCATGTGACCCAGACCTATGGAAAAAAGCCTCATCGCCGCTTGAGTTTTGTTCTTAAAGTATGTCTGTCTTTTCCATAATACCTATACGAATACACATTGTGCTGCATGTGGGGAAAGCTCTCCTTGTCAGCGCTTCTCTACTGCAGGGAGACGCCAGGAATCTATGGAGGTATCAGCTGTAGGTGTCCGTGGTCTGTGGTGGTTATTTAAGGATAACTGGACATTGGTGGCTGCTAAAAGAAGCTGAAACTGATAGACCTTATGTTGTAGAAAATGTCTAAATAACTAGTTGTTGTTTTTGTACGTAATATTTATATGCAAAAATGTCTGTCAATCCATCAATCCCCCATGAAAACTTTCTCCAGGAAGGTGAAAGCTGTCAAAGCTCAGGCAGGAAGCCAATATGCCGCGAGGCGTCGCCCAATTACACCCCATGTGTGGGTTTGGAGATGTGTCCACTAACTACATGTTTTTACACTGCGAAAGGAAAAAACTGCACAAATATGGGTAGAACACACAAACTCCACACATTGAGGGCCTGGGGAGGGATGCAAGCCCCCAGCCCCCCAGCCCTGCAGGCGTGAGGTGGTCCTGCTGTCCAGGTCAGTGATATCCAACTGCGTAAAGCCTTGGACAATAATACAAACATAACAAGCATATCTGATGGGCAGCCTAAAATGACACCCCAGAAGTAGGAAAAGTCATTTTGTAGTGGAGCCCCATGGAATATGACAAGTTATTTTAAATTTAGGCTCATCTGTAATTACAGAACCTGATTCTTAAGGGATCAGGCCTTTCCTGTGAGCTGTAGCTGTTGCAGAAGGAGCTGAGATTTTAGGACTCCGTTGTGTGCTAAAGGCACTTTGCGTGCTCCGGCGTGGCCATGATGTGGGGGTCGCGTTACAGCGTCCCTAGAGGCTGCCGGTGCTTCCGTACAGCTTGCAGAAGAGGGAGAACGTCTGAGTGCAAAGGCAGGTGAGCACGCCCGTCGACGGAAACGGGCTGGCGAGAACAGCACAGTGTGTCGCTGTGGTTGCCGTGGCAATATGAGGGCACCTGTGAAGAGCTGGAAGGTAAACAGAGAGAGGACAGAGATGGTAGGGAGGGTACAATGAGCACCACAATCTCCCAGGCATACGGGACACATCCAATTTAAACATTTAAAAATATTTTAAGGTTTTAAGCTACATTTGTTGCAATATGCACATGTCTGAGAAGTGATTTTTAATGTCTTCACCACTGGATCCACTAGGCTCCTTCTCCAGTTCTAAAGCATGTAATTAGGGGAATTGGCTTCTGCAAGTTATGCTGTCTGGTTACCGTGGGGGGTCACATGTCCTCGGCGCTGAGGCGGCTTCCCTCCATGCTGATTAAGATCGTCTCGGATGCAGTACTCAAGGGTGGGGGACAGTGCCCGCAGGAACCCGGCCCGTCAAAGCTGGTCTCCGCAGAGCTTTATGTTTCATTGCTGCCCTGTCTTGTTTCATTGTGCAGGTTTTATGTGTATAGAGTGAGAGGAAGATGGAGACTGGAAGGCCCGACTTGCCAAGGCTCAGTTTTACAGCTTTAAAAGCTGCATGTGGTCACTTGTTATCTTCGCTTATGTCACACTGCAGCCTGATTCAATTATGCGAGATCACCAGTGTCCAGATGGGTTCAGCAAGCTTTTCTAAGCGATAAAGGGCACAGGAGAATTGGGGGAGGGTTCATAAGGATTAAAGAGGTTCCCTCTGGAATAGATTATTCCTTAGACACCCCCCCCCCTCACTCCGGGAGGGCTGTGTAAACTGCAGCAACTGAAGGGAAGCAGCAATTTGCAGTGAGTGTAGTCGAGCCACTTCAGGGAAGCCAGCATGCTGCAGATTTTCCAGATAGCCAGTGCTCGTGACTGACAGTTCTGCCACACTTGAACTTTGACCCTTGCAGCAGTGTCATTACCATTAGCATTGGGTGCAGATAGATCTGCTTTTATGGAAAGTCTGACGAGGAACGCTTTAAGGTCAAACAGTTGTCCTTTTCTTATCCCAAGCAATGCCCACACCCCGTGACATGATTCATATTGGATATTTTTAGGGGATTTGGCAAACAAAACTCTCTTTGTATCTGCTTACACCATGACGCAGGGTGTTTTTTGATCTATGATGAACCTCTCTAACTTGCAGCATTATCGACACAGTGTTTAATATAGGGAGCGACGACGGAGAAGATACTTTGGGTGTGGAAACTGTGACCTCGACTCCGTAATGAGCTGCTGTTAATCGATACTTCGTAATGATCCGCTTCACAGCAGAAACTTGAATGTGGTTCCTACGAGGTGATGTCATGTCCCAGCTCAGCTGAGCGCTGCTGATAGGCTTAACGAAGATCGGCCCAGATACGACCTAATCACGTTAATGCAGCAAGACAGGAATTTTTTAGGAAGCTGTCATTTCCAGAAGCACTTTAACCCAGGGGGTCACCACTGAAACAGGGCTTCAACTAACCTTGTTTAATACATTTTTAAACAGTTTTATATTTTATAGGATTGTCTTGTATTGAAAAATAAAATTATCTTTGTCACATGTTTTCAGGTGCGGATTGAAAAACTATTTAATCCAGAATGCAAAACCAGCCCCCCGCCTAACATTGTTTCTATCTTATCGTTGGATGCTAATTTTATCCATAATAGAACAGATCCAAGGTTTCTGGGTACATAGATGTGTTTAGTATCTTTTATCCATTTAGTGATGCTGGGGCTCCCAGATGTAAGCTGGGCATGTCTGGGATTATACTGCTCTGCAGAATTCTACTGCCCTGCCTCAGGTCACCTTTGTCTTATTGTTGTGAGACGATGTGAGAATTTAATTGGCTGTAATTCCTTCTTTTAGTTCTGTGGAGCTGGAAAATATTACTGGTTTCATAACTGCAGGAAATATTACTCAGTGAGCCATTTGTGATTTCACTGATGTTGGTTTGACAGGGCAACATGATGTAAAATTAGGACTAATATGTTTTTGCATCTCCGTTCTAAGTGAAGAGATGATTTCTGTGTTTGATGGGGGGAATGTCTTTGGGTGCCCTAACCACATTACTTACTTCTAGCTGTATCTGCGTTAGCTACATAAAATATTTCAGTGGCAGATATATAAAGCCCCTGAAATGCTCGCTGCATTGACTCCTTTATGTTTTGTAAAAATTCACCTTATTTGATGCCCCTACTTACCCGCAGGTGGCAGGAACCAGCCATGGATCCAGTTGCAGAGTAAGGCGGTCCACCTGCCTCCCGGCACCTCCTACACAGACGTGTGGGCGGTGCTGACTGCTGCCAGGAGCCAGTATGAGATCGGGGGTTTTCCATACATGCTGGGCCGTGAGACTAACCACACAGGTGACTGGACATGCAGGGAAGACTCAGAATCAGAACACTGTGGCGGGTTCTTGGATGGAGTTGCTGCCACATGGTTGGGACAAAAGCACTGACCTGCAGGTTTTAACCATTCATCCACTTTCCTCATTCAGTTCAGGGTTACAGGCGGCCCTGGAGCTTATACCATGTGACACAGGGAACAAGGCAGGGATGAAATACCAGGTCATTGCAGGGTACATACACACACCGACACACAGTCACATAATGCATCTATAAATGCAGTGTTATACAGGTAGAAATAAGACTAGAGGCTGTCACAGGAATGATTCCCTGTGCAGCAGCACCGGTAGGGTATGTGGGCACACCCTGGAACCTGGAACCTGGCATTTCAGTCTTGGTGTTTGGCCATAAAAATCGTGCAACAGCTTGCAAAGTGAGGTGAGTCAGTGCGAGTTATTCAGGGCTCGGCGGCATTGTTGGCCATCTGGGCACAAGCGGAGGAGGTCAGCCATGTCTAAAGTCTGATTTACATAGAAGAATTCTTGGTGACACTTTCTATGAAGCCCCCTTTTATAATGCATCACCCATGCAATCATAATGCATTCATAAAGCATTATAAACACAGCTATAACAATTTATAAAAAGGCATAACACATTATTGCCATGTTTATTATGCATTATGAATGTTCTGTGAAACTCAACTATAATGCACTATAAATAGCTTCATAATGCATTATAATGGTCAGTATTAGAATTAAGGATGCTTTGTATTGTATTATGAAGCTATTTATAGTGCATTATAGATGAGAGTTTCATAGAACATTCATACTGCATAATAAACATGACTATAATGTGTTATGCCTTTTTATACATGCTTATAGCCATATTTATAATACTTTATGAATGCATTATGAAGGTACATATGATGCATCATGCTGACTGCTTTAAGATAAGTGTCACTCAATTCTTTAATACCACAAAAGGAATATCCTTCCAACGTGGGATTCTGTGCTTTCTCCTCCCTTAGGTATATTTATATATTTACCTTATTTGCTTTGACCTGAGATGTATGTATACATGTATGTTTATGGGATGTCCAAGTGTGTTTGTGTATCCATGCAACTGTACACAGACATCACAGGCAGCATAGGTAGGAATGCACCCTATGTACAGACATGAGTATATTATGGATTATACAGACGCTGTAAAAGTGCTTTAGTGGTGATGGCGCCCTATGTGTTCGCACGCAGGGGGAAATAGCAGCTGGCTGGAGCTGACTGCGGTGGCAGCGGTCAGTGCCCACCTTTATGCCCGCAATGGGAGTGCCGTGCAGGTGTCGGAGCCCATCCATGTCTCCATCCCCCTGCCCTCTGACAGCCCAGTGAAGGTGGACACCAGCATCCCTGTCTGGCAGTTTGAAGCCGCCACAGGTAAGCAGTGCCCACTGGCAGTGCCCACTGTGCATCACAGGTAGTAACTGGAAAATGTGCTAAGCGGAAAGGCCACTGACTTGAGACTGACGTAAATCTCTTTTGAGACTGACTTGAATCTCTTTTGAGACTGACTTGAATCTCTTTTGAGACTGACTTGAATCTCTTTTACTTCGTAAGTCCTAAGACAGCTGTTGCCTAGAGATGAGCTTCAACAGTTGAATCTTTGAGTTGGCTACTTAGCCTGTACAAATGAAGGAAAACTTAAACTATGTAAGTCACTACAAATATTTTGAGTCTATTAGGCACCTACAATAGATACTTCAATTCATTACAGAATGGAGTATTTTACGCATTCTAACTTGAAAGGAATGCTTTATGAGGACAATGTTCCCTTGATATTGAATGAGGGGAAAGGTCCTGAAAGTTCACCGCAGCAGCTCAAAAGACCGCCCATGATTGTTCGGCATACATATTAAAATTATCAGAAGTAAATGAGAATCTTTACTGAGATTGACGTCACTCTTTGATTTGGACCGCCTGTGCAAACGGCCGAATGCCGTCGCCTTTGTGATGCATCCGCCATTGTCAGGGCTGTGATTGAATGATCACGGCCCTCCGTGAGCCTAGTGCATACACAGTCTCAGCAGTCCGGTTATGCAGTGGTGCAGTGGCACGCTGGCTCTGCTGAGAGAAGCTTTCCACTGAACATAAAGCAAACTTTAAGCCTTAACTCATTCTTCTTTACTATTGAAATTTTCACCCATGTATCATTTTGGAAGAATCCCTGGATTCAGTAATTGCAGATGTGGGGTACAATGTACACAGGATGTTATATAGTCAGAGTAATCCTACCTAGGTGTTTAGAGAATCAGCGATGTGCAGATATTTAGCGGTAAATACACAACTGCTATGCAATTGCTTAGCTTGTTGTGAGAAAATGCAGTAAATGGATAAAGGATGTAATAAACCTCTTAGACTGCTTGAGTCCATGAATCTGATTCCAATTACGTATATATAGAAAATCGCCCTTCAGGCTCTTTACTACTGTTGAATCTAGTGTGGAGTCTGCATGTGTTGTAATTACTGTGCACATCTGTATGGAAACGGCACGTGTGAAAGCTCACAGCCAGTTCTGCCGATGCATTTGTGATGCCGTTGAGCAAGCCTTTAGAATACATACTGGGACTATTTCCACTTCCAGAATGCTTCATTCAGGCCACTGTTGCCAAGGTAACAGGCAGGAATAGAAAGCAATGGAATGGGAAAAGCTATGAAAAGGAGAGAGAATAAGGGGGATTGGTAGAGCTGGTGATGGGTGGGTTGCCATTTTCTGCCAGGCGCTCTTTAGCCGCAGGTTTATTTTATAGATTTGTTGATGATGGTTTGCATTAGAGCGAAGCAGCATGGCATGGTGGTGCAGCGGTTAGCACTGTCGCCTCACACCTTTGGGACCAGGGTTCCGTGTGTGTGGTGTTTGCATGTTCTCCCTGTGTCATCGTGGGGTTTACTCTGGGTACTCAGGTTTCCCCCCACGGTCCAAAAATATGCTGAGGCTATTTGGAATCACCAAATTACCCATAGGTGTGGATGGTGTGTGAGTGTGCCCTGCGATGGGTTGGCACCACATCCTGGGTTGTTCCCCACATCCTGGGTTGTTCCCCGCCTTGCACCCATAGCTTCTAGGATAGGCTCCAGACTCCCTGCTACCCTTTATAGGACAAGTGGTTTCAGAAAATGTATGGATAGAGCAAATCATTGAAACTCACCTCTGTGATTTTACTGGCCCAGCGCTATATTAAAAAACCTGTTCCTAATTACATATGCATTCACATTTACTTTATATGGCAGTCGCTTTTGTCCAAAGCAACGTGCAATTAAGGCAAGTAGCACATTACAAACGTACATGCTGTCAAGCAGTTGACTAGGCATAAATGCAGCTAGGCTGAGCTTCCAGGGAAAGCCCAGGTACAAATGTAAGCAGGAATGGAGCAGGAGATACAGAATAACTTCTAACAAAGCAAGAACCTAATTCAGTGACCGGTACTGCAACATTAGTATACCTGATATGATGATGGATGGATGAATGAATGAAAGTTGCACTTATATAGCACTCAAAGCATTTTATAAAAGGAATGGGGAGCCGCTTCAGCCACCGCTGTGTTATGCCCACCTGGATGATGCGATGGTGTCCATGTTGTTGACTTTCTTGTATTTACGTTTATTTAGTTGGCAAGCACGTTCATCCAAAGCTGATATGGATAATCCATGTCAAGCATCCACCTTTGGTACTAGTGGTGCTAGGCTATGCTTCCGGTGACCGGTGTAGTATAGCCGAGGGTATATATGTATGATACATGTATGATACATGTATGATACATGTATGAAAAGCTGACTGAAATACCAACTGAGCTCTGGGCTTGAAATGATTCATAATGCGTCTATTTAAATTTGTCCGTCTCTGATGTGTTTTGTTGTACTGGTACAACACAACTCTTCCCCTTGGAAATAAAGCTGAAAAAATTCATAAACTGAATTTGTTAAAGCAAACCTATAAATTGCACATAGATAGGGGTTGTGTGTTTCTGCCCCTAGGATTTTTCAGAGACGGTGATAAAAAATCGGGGATTTTTCTCTTTTTTTCCTAAATGCAGTGTAGCTTTCAGCCTATATTTGATGGCTTATAAATATGCAAAGAGAAATTTAGGCCTTATGGGCAGAAGGGATGTGATCGAACTTTTTTTTTAATTTGCAGAGAGCCTTGAATTAGCCAATAGGGGGCAAACTTCACCAGCAAAATTTATTTCATAATGCATTTTAATATGGTGGCCCAGTGCTCAGCGCCATTAGCTCCTACCTTTAGGGTTGGTGGGTCACATTGCACTTACTCCTCTGCGTATGTGACGGTTACATGTTTGTCCCAAGTCATCTGCACTTCCTCTGGAAATCCGCAGAGAAGTGATTAGGATAACTAGCATTCCTAAATCGTCCGTAGTGTGTGTCTCCTGTGATGGATTGACGTTCTGTAGCAGATGTACCCCTGCCTTGTGCCCTGTATCTCTAATATGTTCCAAGCGCCTCCATGATCTTAGGATCAGCAGGTAGATGGATTGGTCCAACTCAGATTGTTCTGGGCTGTCAAGGCTCCATGGTTCGGATAGGATGGTAAGATGAAGACTAAACACTCTTTGGATGTCAGCAATTTTATACATTATGGATTACAAGCAAAGCAACAGAGGCCATTCCTAAAAAAATCAATTTCCTGTTTTGGGCATAGCCTTTTATCAGCTGAGCACAGCAGAAAAAATGTTTGCCTTCCTGCCTGATATGTGGGCAATGTGAACAGGCCGATGACGTAGCTGCTGAACGCAGTCCTGTTATTTGCAGGGTTCCCAACTCTCACGCATGTGGCGTGACACTCACGCTCTCTGACTGTCACGCTCACACAGGAAATCTTACGCCAAATCGATATTATTCCATTATAAACCTAAAATTAGCTACATAAAAAGGGCAGTTTGCAAACCCTACAGACTATCTACAAGGCAATCAAACTGTTACATGCACGTAAATGTGTGTGCAGACTTAAGAATCTCACGACGACCGGCTACCAAAGTTAGTGACACTGTATCTGTAGCTCATTCATCATAATAATCTGTGTGGTCTTTGGCACTTCATATGTATGTAGTTAAAACAAGCAAGTGTAGTACCTGCCCATCGCAGTTATAGGGGGCACCAGTGTTCATCCTGCCACAGCATGCCACTGTAGAAAAGTATGCCATTTGTGGGTTATGGTTGTCAGACAACTATGCTGTCAGCCACAGCTGAGTCTGTGTATTAAGTCTCTCTTGTCTGTAGAGTTTCTAAAAACTGATGAAAGTATCTATGTGTCATTATGTTTGTAGGCCATTTTTATTTCTCTCCCTGGAGTGTGAGAGTAGTGCGTGAATGCCTGGAGAAATTCATGTACATTAAGTGATTATTTTAAACATTTGTATTTCATGTTAAGGGGTGTAGGGTTTGATATTTTCTGTGGGTGATGGTATGGTGGCGAGTTGGGTGACAGCTTGTGGGAAAGTGTAGACCACTGTGACGAAAGCACCCTTGTGTGGCAGCTAGAGTGACAACAGACACTGTGTCCGTAATGGTGAACTGGACAGGTGGACTGGACAAGAATAGCTTCGGAGTCTCAAAACAAGGTGCAAAGTCAGCCATATGTCCACATGCACAAAACTGCAGTACATTTATCACAGATAACATCCACCCATCTTCTTATCCAGTACAGAGTTGCAGTGAACCAGGAAGTATAGGGTGGGGATCAGTATGGACAGGATGGACACACACAGACACACACACACACTGAGCTTGGGTCTAAGAATGGAACCCACAATAATGCTGCCCCGCTGATATATTATAACACCAATTATAGACTAACTATAATTAGACTGACTATAACTTCACATTTGTGAAACCATCACCCATGAATAATGAACTGGCTCCTGTGCATTTTGCAGACAGGCCTAGACACTGCTGCTGCGAGATACTTATTTGAAATTTTATGCTGTGCAGTTGCCTTCTACTACAGCATTGCTTACATCACACACAAGCTTTCAGCTAACATGCTTTCTACATAGCAGTGTTGCATGGATTTTTTTTTGTCTCACTAACCGATCAGCAGCACCCAGGAAATAGCAAAGGTTTTAATTACAAATTAGTCGGCCACTGGGTAGCTTCCTTTCTTGCTCAGCTTGAATACTCTTTACCAGTCTTAAGCAGACAATTTGATTTATGATTTCCATGCTGCCCTACAGCGGAGAAGATTAAATATCAGGCCATATGAGGACAGTGCTGTGAGGAGTAGTATGTAGTGTAAACTAGTGCATATGTTTGCATGAGATACTAATGCTTAAATTGTTTCATTATGAATGACATCATCCTGGAAAATTTCTATTTGGACACTTGGAGAAGAGCGATCATTCTTGGCTACTGCTACAGCCAATTCCTTCTCTGTAAACAAACCTCCTTTCCCCTGCAGAGAGTTCTGCTTTCACCATTTGTTCAGTACTGGGGTGCAGCAACTCTGTCAATCTGTCCTGTGACACCCTCAGATGAAATCCCACAAAGACATTAATGGCTGCAACCCCCCTTTCAACCTTAGGTTGAATAGGAAAAGCACATTGTATTTTTACACGGGAGATGAAAAAATAGTGGAAAACAAGCACTTAGCTTGGACTCTGAAGGCTGATTTTTGTTCATACAGTGACATTTTTAAAATTCGATTTCTCCTAAGCTTTTAAACCATTCAGAGACACTGGTGCCTTTTTTCCATGTCCTCTTTTGGTTCGAAGGTCAACAGTCTTTGAATTGAACCTTTGTTTGTGCCTGAACATGCACAATGGTAGTCACACTGTAGTTTGCTGCACTATGACAAAACAATAGACGATAGACCGGCAGAAGTGTCCTACACCTTTAGTTAATGGTTCATTATTTAGTCTCTTGGCCTGACTTCCAATCTTTTTTCTTCTTTCAGGGCTCTGGGTCAGGAATGGAACAGGCTACATTAAAAGAGAGGGCCTGCAGCTCATCTGGAGTTTCGTTGCCTCACATCTGGGGCTCTGGGTGGCAGCAATCCCTTCAGCTACAGGTAAGCACAACATCTGGCCATGCATGGCCGTCCCTGATGCATTTCAGTGATGTCCATGGAGGATCTATGGTGCCTTGTGGAACAGCCTAGGGGTTCTGTGCCCAACTGTCCAATGCAGACTCTGCTTTTAAGGCATTAAACCAATCTGTGGTTGCAGGCATGGGTTTCAGCTCCACAGGCTTGCGAGACATGACCACCTACCATACCATCTTTCTGCTCGCTATCCTGGGCTCCATGGCCCTGCTAGTGCTCATCCTACTGTGTCTGCTTCTCTACTACTGCAGGTATGACTTTGCTTAATCCATTATTTTATGAAGTATCTATGTATACCGCAAATCATTCAGACATTTCTGGCTTTACATGTATAGACCAGCTAAATGTAATACTTATGAATCAGCACATCCAAGTGTTCACAGCTGTGCCATGAACAAAAATATAAATTTTACCTGTTGATGCTGGTAGTTTTTCTAGTTTTAAAGTATGTTTTTTAATTTTGTATTTTTTTTGTGATCTAGGAGGAGATGTCTGAAACCACGGCAACAACGTCGCAAGAAGCATGTTTCCGCCACACTAGACAACTCCAAGCGAGACCAGGGAACCTCAATGTCTCGCCTTAACCTTATCTGTGGCGGGCACATTGAAACGGCCTCTTCCAAAGGTGACAGGGACGACCTCAAATCCGAATTCACCTCCTCTCAGGACTTCCAGAGCTCACGTGAAGAGTTCTTCCAACATGTCCCTGCCCACAAATTGCACCACTCAAAGATCAACAAGGACGGAGGCCCGCGGCGTGGCGAAAGCTTCCAGATGGTGACCCGCTCTACAGAAGCCAGCAACCTGGACCACCCTCTGTTGCATAGTGACTACACCAGGAGCTGCAGTTCGATGGAGGACAAGGGGATTGATGGCCTGCGGCGCCACAATGCCAATGACAACAAGGGCTATTCTTCTGATCCCCCATCCCCTCCTCCTTTTCTTAGTCACAAGCCAGAAGGCAAGCCCCCAGAGTACTCCGCGTCCCAGGTAGCAGACCATCTTGCCCGGCCCACTTCCTTGAACACACAGCCTAGCCAGTTCATCTTCTGTGGCTCCATCGACCAGATGAAGGAGAACATGTACCGAAGTATGGTGCCCACTCTGGTCATACCAGCCCACTACATGCGGTTGTCGTCAGAATTCTCAGGGATGGACCAGGGGGCAGAGTCACAACAGCAGCAAAAGCAAGATCTAGACGATGTACCAGGATGCCACCAGCTCACACCCCAGCAGCAGCAACAACAGATCAGTCCACCAGGCGAGGACCCCGAAGGTCGCAACTGGGGCCCAAATCCGTCTTCAGGTCCTGTGCGTATCCCTGTGCTTTTTAACGACTCGACTATGGCACAGATGAATGGGGAACTCCAGGCCCTAACTGAGAAGAAGCTGAGGGAGCTGGGTGTGAAGCAACATCCTCGGGCCTGGTTCATCTCTCTGGATGGCCGTTCCAACTCTCACGTGCGGCACTCCTACATAGACCTGGGCAATGAAACTAGTGTCCGGCTTGGCCATGATGCTAACCTGGACTCTGGAGTAGACTTCCGTGAAAGTAAGCCGATGCTCCACCGCAAAGGCAAAGGGGAGAAGGCCAGTAGTAGTAAGGGGCATAGTAGCAAAACCTATTCTAAACTGGCCTATGCGGATGACAGAGAGCCCAGCAGCAGTGAGAACCGTACTGCCATGGGTTCACCTGAAGACAATTCCCTCACCCCGCTGTTGGATGAGGGCCAGGAGCCCCGTGGGACTGGCATTCCCAGACGAGGCCGCAGCCGGGTCAACAGCTCACGCAGCAGCAACAGCGAAACTCGTCGGGACTCTATGACCAGTGCCGAGGATGAAAACGACCCCGATGACAAGGATGATGAGGGAGAGAACAAGAAGAGTCCCTGGCAGAGGCGAGAAGAAAGGCCTCTGATGGTTTTTAATGTCAAGAAGTAGAGATAAGCCCAGTCCAACCTCAAACTCTTTGTGAAGTTTTTTTCCTCCTTATTTTGCTCTACTCACCTTCTGTGATGTACTTCTAGTTCAGTTTGTACGGTTGTGGTCTTCAACAATGAAATGCAGAAAATCCAAACACGATGCAACATAGTAAAAAGCTGGCCAGAGAAAAGCACAATGAAGATAAAAGATACAAGAAACCTACGTAGATTATCACTCTCATTGGTTTTTTTCCTGGAAGAGTCCAGATATTTGGAGAGAAAGTGGATTATTATTTTTGTAGTGATTACCCAAGCATGTCACTTTAAATGCTGAGATCTTGCTAGATATTTTTCCTCACACAAGGACTCTCTAGAAAGAATCAAAATGGCATAATGAAAAATCAAGAAACTATGGAAAAGCAGACTTTCAAGAATGTGATTTTTTTCCATTTTTTATTTCCATGTGCTGTAAACTTCATTTTTACCTTTTGAAATTTTTTTGAGAATCACATATCCGAACACAGTTATGGTGTTCCGTTTTATACTGACTTTGGACACAACCTGAAAGCCTAAACAAGGTATTTTACTTTTAAGTATCCTCTCCTCTGGGCAGAATTGAGGAAAAATTCTGATGTAAGTATCACAGATTTATTTGGGGTTTTCTTTGCTGTTGTCCCATTTATATTTGTCTGCTCATTATATTCTTTTACAACAGCTAGAAAGCTGAAAACAAACATAAAACTGTCGTCTGTGGCTGTATGAACTATCCACAAGGCCTTCCTTAAAATTGTCATTTTTGTGTGAATCTAATGAAATGGCTTTGTAAAAACGCAACTTAAATATTTCGTTTTTTTTTTAATGAATGTGGAGCAATGTGTTTCAGTTGAGAACTGCTTTACAGCACTGACTGTGTTCTCTGAAGCATTACCAGGCACGGCCTCTGACAGATTCCTCAATCACGTGAAAGGTTGCTATGAATCATGAATATGAAATCTTTTTTTTTTTCACTTGCAGCTATTTGCTAAGAAAGGTTTTTCTGGTAAATTTGTATGTTTATTTCCAAGAGAAATCTTTCCTGTGTCATTGAGATCAGATTAACAGCTGATCAGTCAATGCAGCTATTGCATAGTGTCCTACCAGTTTGACAGGAAAACCCACAGTGTGCCACCTAGTGGTAGTTTTTGTTTTTGGCTGAAAAGATTCAAGTCATACAGAATCCCATGTATTTGAAGCACAAAGTCCGCTACAGAATCCTAAAATGTACACAGAAACATATAGTGTTTTGTCCTCTCCCCCACCAACCCCAAGGTTTTTTATTGAGACTTTAAAGGATACATGCGGTGGAGCTGAAGTCTTGAAAGGATACGTAGTGGAAGAACATTAAGTAGATAGTGAACAGAAGTGAATGGACAGATAGATAAATATGGCTGGTGTGTCATTGAGTGTGTCAGGGAACTGTGCCGGCATCTAGAAACTTGTGAGTTCCAGCCCTTTTGCTGGCAGATTAATCGTATCAGTTGCAGGGCCTTGAGCAAGGGCCTTAACCCCTACTGTGCCAAGGATGCCGGCTGACGCTGCTCTCCGACCCCAAAGCTTTCCTCACTTCTATGTCACTTTGGACAAAATTGTCCAGTATATGTAGGAAAGAACAGAATATGGAAACGTGGGATGCTGACAACTCTGTGTTTCTTTACAGCACTAGCATTTAACATATACAGTGAGAAGCAAAACTTTTGGGAAGTAAAATTGGTTATTTTTGTTATTCCTAATTTGTGTTAATAGGTCAAAAAATCAACATGAGGATAAAGTACAGAATGCCAACTGTTATTTCTAGGCGATGTTTCCCATACAGTAATAGCCAAATGTGAAATATGCCATTTGCTGTGTCTACTGAGCATAAGTATCGGAACAAAGGATTGACAGGTCATTCTGATTGTTCAGGTATTCCATGTTCCCATAATTGTGAACACAAAAGAGCTATGAATGTGTGGAGTTGGTTGTAGCCATTGGGAGTTTGAATTTGATGTGTGTTTGATGTAAAGATTACAAACGAGATGGAAAAGCAAGCAGTTTTGAAAATGAGATTAAAAAACACTAATCAAAAGCATCCAAGAATGACTTCACATTCCAAAATCAACAGTCTGGAGTGATTTGAAAAAGAAACAGGCTACTTGGTGTGTTGGCAATTTGCAAACATCAGGCCGTCAGCAGTGTTAGAGCTGTGAAGAAAACCCCCAAAATAAGGAATGACAGCTGGTCCACTGAGTGCAGGGGTGAATGTGCCAGTGTTCACCATTCACAGAATAATTCAAGAAAAGAAATACTGAAGCCACACTGCGAGGTACAAACCTCTGATCAACACCAAGAACAGAAGAGCCAGGCTGGAATTCACGAAGATGGGCCAGATGAGTTTTGGAGCAAAATGTTATGGACAGATAAGGTGAAGATTAACCTTTATCAAAGTCATGGGAAGGGGAAAGTGTGGAGAGAGAGCATACCACTTCATCTGCGAAGCATGGAGAGGGCAATGTCCTTGGGCATGCATGGCTGCTTCTGGAATTGGCTCCCTTGCCTTAGCTAATGATGTATTTGGAGAGGTAACAAGAGAATGAATTCTGAGGTTTACAGAAACGTCTTATCTTCCCATGTCCAAGCAAATACCTCAAAACTCATTGTTTGGAAGTTCACAATGCAGCAAAACAATGACCAAAACTGCACACTTAACCAAGTTCATCAGAAAGAAATAATGGAAAGTTATAGACTAGCCAAGTCAGTCTTCTGATTTTAACCCAAATGAGCATGCATTTCACCTGACGAGGAAAAAACTGGAAAAAAGTCAGAAACACCCCAAAACAGGCACCAACTGAAAGCAGCTGCAACAAAGGCAGGGCAGAGCATCTCAAATGGTCAAAAGTCAGGTGCCATAAGACATGAGGCAGTTATTAACTGTAAGGGGTTTGGGACCAAATATTAGGTCTGAACAATTTAGTTTTGCTTTAAATTTATTTGTACCAGTACTGATACTGATCTGAAACTGGAAGAGTAAACAAGACAAAAGAGAAACAAAACAAGAAAGAAATAAAACAATACAATATGGCAGGCAGGCAGACAAAAGACGACACAGTCAAAACAACAGGGGAACTCATCAGGAGAGCAGGTAAGACTGGTGCTGTATATTGTAATCTCTGCCAAAAACTTGTGCCAATCAAAATCTGGAATTACTAAAAATTTATTTCACCACTCTAAGTATTGTCATCCAGTTATATATACAGAATACAAGCACTTACAGTCACAGACACCAGCAAATAATGTTGCAACTTTTAGTCGCATCCAGTATTGGTTCAAAACGGGACACATTTTATTCTTATCAATTCGAGGCTGGTGGCAACTCTGTCAGCAATGTCAAAACCGCCCCCCTTAAGGAGCAGTGAGGCAGAGGAAAATAATCCAGCAATGAACTGTACTGTCGGCATATTACTAGTGTTACTGTCTGTCATGAAAAAAATATTGTATGATTTATTAAAATTAGATTTCAGTTTGCAGTTCTTTGTGATCTCATGTTCTGTTTAAGGCAAATTCTAAGGGAATCTTATGCTTAAATGGAGCGTAAAGAGAAAATGAATTATTCTTGAAAATAACGATTTATGCATTATATCATGATAATTATATTAACTGATATGAAAAGAAATCCTGATAAAATATGTTGCCATGTCTCCCAGCCCTAATTCCTGTGTTAGAGAGAATGGAATTTGGACAGTGAAATGAAACATATTTTCTATGGTTGAAATGAAAGTGCAACTATTAAATGTAACAAATGTATATAATTGAAAGATGTGTCCTTCCAACTGCTGGTAGCTTTTCTTTGCTTTCTTCTCAGCACAGACACACATACGCATACATACACAACTGTACCATGTTTTCTGCCCCAAGTGCCTTCTTTTTGCATTGTAAATTGTGGCCAATCACAGAAGGCCTTTTCAGCATGTCATAAAATAGGTGTTGGGTGTGTGACCAAACTAATGCATTCAACTGATCATCCGAATGAGCCCCCAAGGCTTCAGGAGGAGAAAATTAAAGAGAAATTACCTTGCGCCCTCAGATTGTTTATATGCAAAGGTTGAAAAACTTGATAAGCTGATTAAAACTGGATGTGAAGAGTCTGAAACGAACTGAAAATAGTTGTGTAGCAGTGTTTTTATGCTTTTGCAGATTTAAACCAGACTTTCCTTTACGCCACATTGTGAATTGCTTAATGGTTCATTTCAGCCAACAGCAGTCGGTAACAATACTCGAGTCAAAAATAAACGTGATGGTCTTATGAGGGCATAATCTGTTCTACAAGGAACACTGTAATAAATCAGGGGGAAAAGATGAAGCAGAACATCCTTAATCCATGGCCTGTCACACAATAGGGCTATGAATGTGAAGACTTGTAGCACAGCTTAGAGAGCAAATAACAGGATTACTCAGATTCAATCTATCAGCACAATGTACCATCAAATTAGGCCATGTTCTGTGTAAACAGATCATGACAGAGGTCCTAAAAATGTGGTCATGAATGGTGAATCATACCATAAAATGCTTGTAATTTTGTAAAGGAGACAGGTCACCATGCAGTCCTAAGATGTGCCCACAGGGTCACGTCCTTGGCATGTGGGAGTGAGAGTGGGCGAAAGCATTTGTGTATAGAGAAAAATCTTAAGAGGAGCCACAAATGGAGACTGTTAAATCAAACAAACACATGTGGGCATCACTTACCTCTACAGAGCAACCAGGCAACAACAGAACTGTTTTTCCAGAAGCCATAAACTGCCTGTAATTTTGGGTCATACCTGAAGATTTACGACATTGTCTTACTAAGCTTTCCTGTGTAGCTGGATGCATGATGATTTCCTGTTGAACGAATCTTTTATTATTGTGATGAGTGCTTAATGCAACGCTTTTGTAAAATGGCTCCCCTGCACTTTCCTGATTTTTAAATAAAGTTATGGTGTTTATATTGGAACAGTTCAACTGAATTGTTTTCCCAAGAATCACTGTACAAATGGGATTAAATGTGCAAATCATATTTAAATGTTAATTTACATCTTTGAGCAATGCTTATAAAATGTCCTCAGACTGCTTTTTTTCCCCCTTTAGCCAACCCTACAGCATGCTGAGTTGTATCATTGTGCAGAATAGTTCAGACTTTTAAATATGAACTCCTGCTGTCCTGGCTTGTAAGACACATGGTGTTTGAAGGATGTCTCCTTACCCGCTTCTTCCCCAATTTCTGGTGACATTTTATACTTGCTTTCATTATTAATGTTGCAAATATTAATGGATTTAACATGTATAGTGTTTTGCCTTGTCTGTAAAGAAATTAAAATGGTTAAATTTTATTTATGATGCTTAAACACCAATTACCCATGCCTCTGTTTTTTCAGTCAGTCAGAAGTAATTATAGTAGGGGCAACTCACGGATCCTGTAGGGGGGAAATAAATGGGTTGTTTCTGAAATGTATGACAGGAAGAGGAACAAATAAAAAGAGCACTGATGTCTTTATTACCTTTTCATTTTATATTCAAGTATTTAAGAATTAAGGACAATAAAAACAATTTGAAATCCTACTGAAGATAAGGTAGTGTTCACAGTACAGCGTGACCTGCTACACCAATCGATCGTTTCCACTTAAACAGCCTGCTGAAATTTTATTTCACAGGTGGGTCTTAGTTGAATTTGACAGAGGTATACTGGTATTTTTTCCGCAACCCAGTCAAACATCCCTGATGTAATCAGACTACAATGTAGACATACATTTGTCTGAATGTTTCGTAATTTCCATCATTAAGCATTGACACTTGGAACTTTGCACTCCTCTCAGTACTACTCATAGCTTATCTGAACCAGACGCAACATTCTGGTGAATCCAAATACCTGAATGACAGGGATGACTTGCATTACATGCATGTAATGCAAGTCATCTGCTATGCAGTCATAGCAGATTTCCCACAGTGGGTAGCTTATTGTTAAATTAGAAGTGACAGGCTAACCCTTTTATTTCTGAATGTTCTTTATGGAATTCAAACAATGCCAAGGACCCTGACCTTGGGTGCCCCCTGTGGGTTGGGGACTGCATTGCAGATTTACTGCAAGCATAGGCAGCAGGGCATGCATGACAGTGACAGCTCACATGCCACACTCAGTCTCATTTCACTGCATTAGGTGTCTGTTCACCTTCCCATCACCACTGATTTTTTACATCTGGAAGAAACCTCCAAAACGCATACATCTTTAAATATGGAGGGCATCAGTTTGTATGACAGATAAGAGGACAGAGGGTTGCAGAATCTTAAAATCAGGAGGTGGAATCATGCATCCATGCTCAGCCTTAAAATATATCACTAATTCAGTAGCAATACAAAGGGAAGAAGCTGTAGACCTATCCACTATCATCAGTAGTTCTCAAAAACATTGCTTAGTCCAAATATCTCAAAACTCTGCTGCAGTCAGACAGAAGTGTAGCAAGTCGCCTTCCACAGGGATGCAGAATTCAAATCCATACGATCCACTTGAAGAGGGAAAACCCCACCAAGCCAGTGAAAACTCCCCTCTTTACACAGCGAGTACAAGACAAACTTAAATATCAAAATCATGTGAAACTCCTGATTCCTGCAGAAACAGCCCCATTTTCTAGGCCAGTCCCTGAAGAACAAGGCGCAAGTGTTTAATTGGCCACAACAGACATGTAAGGCACAGCTCTGCTGGAAGCTTCCACAGGGTGAAAGGACTCCGTCATATGGACACAGGCTAGCCTTTGCACATTATTACGAAAGAACCACCCTGCAGGACTAATATGCATGTGTGGATCTGGATGCATATTCTGCTATTTTGTTTTGCCTATTTGTGAGTCCTTTTGCCAACACGCTTGAGAACCAGCCTGGAATTTAAAAAATAAATAAAAAATTAGGCAATCTTTACAATGGTGACTTAGCAGGATAAGAGGATAATGTGTTTCAGGTGTGATTAAGCTGTGTGCTGTGAGTGTTTGTAGACTGGAATTCCAAGTGTAGATTTCGACTGAGGGAGGGACAGGTGAGCCCCTCACATCCTCTGCAACAGCCGCTCCTGGTTCAGCCCCTCAAAGAAGGTCTTCCCAAACTCATAGGTGCTAATCATGATAGCACAGGCCGGTGCTACTTTGATTAGCCTGGGCAGGAAACCTGAGAGCAAGCGAGACAGAAGCTCTGTCGCATTACACTGGTTTACATGGCAGGTGCACACAGGTGAAACTAGCATTCTGAACCAAAAGGCAAGGCTTAAAGGAACTTCAACCAGCGCTGCCTTACGGAAGGTGTGCCACGGCAGAAAAATAGTTTGGGAAACACTGCTCTGGATGGATCTGTGTTTTTTTAAATGTCAGTTTCCTCACATGATAAACACTCAAAAGTGAATTCATACTGGCAGCCAATACGGTCCCTGACGCTCACCTACAAACAGGCCCCTGCAGCCAGACTCAGCACAGATTCTCCGCATGATGTGCAAGGTAGAGGAGGGCTTCTTAGCCGAACCTGAGAGAGGAGAGAGATGGCAGCGGTCAGTCCCTGTACAACCGTCCCCCCCCCCGAAGATGTCAGCAGGAAGCGAAGCCACTTGGTAGTCTTCGTGTGTCTTCAGGCATCCCTTGTCCATAACTGTCAGGGTACAAACCACGGGGACATCATTAACGGAGACCTGGCTGGTAACCCCACCCCAAAGTGACTGTTGGTGTGGAGGAACAAATAAAATAAAGACGAAGGAGTGCAGCTAAAAAACAAGTTTTAAGAAGTTTGCATCTTGAAAGATCCCATTCTGCTTTGTGTCCAGACTTCCAGATGGCAGGCAGAAGCAGTGCACAGGGAGTCAAGCGATTAGCAGCCCCCCAACCCCTTGCTAAGCCGCGCAGGCATCCTCCGTATGAGGGACAGCAAGCCACTGGTCCCTATGAGGGTGGGGGGGAGGGGGGACATGTTGGAAATAAATGCTTGACTACACTCTCCAGACCCCAGACCTACTCCGTCCTCCAGGCCGATGTGCCCTGTCTGAGAGAAGGGGAGAGACCGGAGGAGAGGCGCTTTAGTCAAACCAAGGGTGAGCAGTCCTCCATCAGCCTAGCAGTCCGCCCCCCCCCATACTAACCCGCCAACATCTCCATCTCCCCAAGCTGTATCTGCCTCCGTGTCTTCACCACATCAAAGGGAAGGGTCATCACCGCCGCCACCTGCGGAAGAAGGGACACGGAAGCTGCTCACACACCTTAGCTGTCCATTATTCAGTAGGATCGGTCAAACGTTAAGAGTCTACCAGCCAAGAGCCGAATTAAGCCTGCGGGAAACAGGGAGACAAAGCCTGCTCAACACCACCAAGGACACTGGGTGTTCCAGGAGATGCACAGCACATAACCCACAAGGCCTGGTGCTTTGCTTGAGACTAACATTAAGATTATCCAAGTGAGAAACACCACTTGAGGCCGCTGCTGAAGCCTGGATATGTAATCTCTGCCCGCAACCCAAAGGCTACAGAGAAACAGCAGCGACACAGCGCCTATGTGGTGTTTTACAAAAGGGTAGATGGGTCTTGATCTTAGACTCTTAGAACCAGTTCCTTCCAGTTTGCTAAAGTCAAGGTTATAGATGCATTTTAACAAATTCAAACGTCATCTAGGCTTATATTGGAATACCTATTAATAAATTTGTTGCCAGAGGTAAGACTATTTATACAGCATTGGAAGAAGATCTCCAATCAATTGTCAGAGCTTATTTTTCACTTTAGAATGGCATCAAATATACCCAGAGAAAACTGGATAGGCAGTGGGACAGAGAAACTGATTACAATAGCCCCGCTATCTCAAATGCGACTAATACAAAGCCGGCATACAAAATAAACAAACTAATGGCAGTAATTAAATGCTGATTTTGTGCTAGTGACTACACTCAGCATCAGTCAGCCAGCAATCTCACATAGATAAGAAAAAGCAGACATGCAGAAAGATAAGCCAACCATCAGACAGCTTCCTGCTGGGAGGCAGAGACCCCCCAGTAGCCAGGCGTGGGACCACAGCTGTACTCACCGCCCCTGAAATGGCCCCAGCAGTAAAGCTCATGGCAAAGGTTGGCTCCGAGACCTGCTGGTCCTTGCAAAACTGGGCCTTCACCAGCTCGTAGATGAACCAGTACACCGCTGGGAAGAGTGGGAGAGGCTGTATGAGGATCTAACGACCAGCCAGGTGGTCATTTCATTCTACTGCTGCTTAGCAAAAATCAGAAGCATTGCAAACAATTTGAGTATCAGGGAATCTTAAAAGAAAACACACTTCACCATAAAAAGAATGGGAGGCCATTTTTAAATTCTTGCTACCAAGAAACCCCACCCCTTGAAATCAACCCAAGCTGGGCTAGAGAAGGGTCACCTGAGAAGGGTACATCCCTCAGGATGGTGGGCCCCCAGCCCCTCCAGAGGGACACCCAGCCATCCTGGGCCACAGCTGAGGAAATGCACACCCTCAGCTCCTGGTAGGACAGCTGTCGTGACTGCATCTTGGTGCGCGCCAGCTCCAAGGGACTGATCACGGTGACCGCACCCACTGCGGAGCAAACGGGCGATGTGGCTGACAGGGCGACACTCACACGCGACATCAGAACGGCCCGTTCATCATGCTCAATACCTCCAGCTAAATCTGAGGCTACGCTGTACACAAGGCAAAGCTACACATCAGCCTTACGTTTCAATGCAGCCATGGGTAGCCGCTTTAATAGAAGCTTGAGATTAACCCTGGATCACTGTATTAGAATTAGGTGATCAGTGACCATTGTTGACACACCACAGCACACAACAACAAAATCTGTCCTCTGCATTTAACCCATTTGTGACATCGTGACATAGCAGGGGGCAGCTAATTCAGCGCCCGGGGAGCAGGGCTTGGGGGCGGTACCTTGCTGGTCAGGGATTTGAACCAGCAACCGTTCAATTACAAGTGCGCTTCCCGAACCATTAATTGACATTAATATAACTCCAGCTTGACAAGACATGAGAAGAAGCACATACACACAAAACAATGCAATAAATGTAAAGTGGGAGGGGTTAGCAAAGACCCCCAATGCAGGCCCAACATACTCACGCCTGGCTAGTGCCCCAGCCGCCAAGGGGACGAAGGTCCCCTGGTAACCCAAGCGATAGTGCAGAAAATGCCTCAGCTGATCATAACAGGTGAAGTAGATTACTGTGGCTGGTACTGCCATCACCCTTTGGGGGGGGAAGAACATAGGAAATAAATATCACTGGTGTTTCTACAGCATCAAGCTTTATGAGCTTGGGACACCTCCTCACATCATCAAGATGCATTCATAATCTAACGAGGAATTTAGCTTATGGAGCAAACAGGATTCCCTTTAGGTAAAACGTGCTCTCCCACATTGTGTGCTGACAAGGCATATGGTGAAGTTTCACCCTGAAAGACTTGCTTTTGTCAGTGCATTACAGACTATGCATTCCTCAAAACAAGCATCAAATTTCTCTGGTCATGTTAAAATGTTAGACTTCATCATTATGCTAACTGTCCATAAACCAGTACTGCTAGTGGGAACTGTACATTTTTTGCATTTATGCGCTTGTGGGGGGTGGGGGTCACATTTTTTCCCCAAAAAATTGTGGGAGTTCCTTCCAGGTTCAGTCAGGTGGACTGAAATCTCTTGGCGTGAAACTGGCACCCCATCCACGATATTCCCCCATCCACGGAATTCCCCCATCCACGGTATTCCCCCATCCACGGTATTCCCCCATCCACGGAATTCCCCCATCTTAATGCCCCATGCTGCTGGATAGATGACTAAGATGGATGCCGTGTGCTTACTCACAGTGTTGGTGGCAGCCCACTCCACAGAGATCTCACTCCCTCATGGCGTGTAATCTTAACGAAGGCATCCTGTACAAAGAGCCAGTTAAGGAGACCCGTCAGGCATTCGCCAATGACAACTTAAAGAATACATATGACAGCACATAATGTAATGCTAAAACTAACAAACACAGGAGTAAAATGCGTTCTGTTTCACTGAAATCTCTTCTTTTGGTGTTTTACATAAAAGCAAACATATCAATCCAACAGAATGTGGCCCAGGGTTAAAATACAGCTTAGCATCAAATTAATTCCTCTATTCACATATCGTCCCTGTCTGACGAAAACCACAATACCCAGTTTGACAATTGTGACTTCTTACTGCTTGTTGGCATAAGCCCATTGTGTGTAATGACAGTGTGGCGTCTAATCGACCAATGAAAAGTCATCTATTTAACTTAGTTTGTACTAGTTAACATTTGTATTCATGATAGTTGTTTGCATGGGTTACTTTATATTAATTTTAACAATTTAATTTTGATAGCTAGCGAACTAACATTACGGTTAGTTGTCAACATAAAGCAAGATAATGGCTGTGTAAAGATGGGTTTCTGTTTGTGGTGTTATGGGCATCATTACCTTGCGTTAGGTTTATTTCATAATGTATTGTACAATTAGTATTTTTTTTTTGTACTATAAGGCCATTTACATTATTGCACTGATGCAACTTCCGCTTTGAATATTGAAGACGGAAGACACAGAAACCTAGCCGAACCTCAACGGCGAGTGGCGTTTAACGGAAGTGGCGAAAGGCGGGAACAGCTGCTTCTTACCAGGGTACCGCTGAAGTGGGTGGGGCGGCTGTACCAGGGGGCACAGCGCACGTCGTTCTGGCAGACGTACAGGTGGTCCATCAGGCCGTTACAGTACAGGATGCACTTCCCTGCAGACACGGCAGACATGGTCAGCCCATGCGAGCTTAAAGCTGCCAGCCACAGACCAACCAGCAGGGGGGGTGACACCAGCTGCCACGGGATTTATAACTGAGCATGGGCAAAAGTCACTGGCGAGTTTCATAAAATATACATCAGACCATTATAGAACATCCTCTGGAATGTGGAAACATTTCCAGAACAAAACACACACATGAACCTACAGGTACACTAGTGGCCAAAATTGTGGAGACACTTCCAATTTTTAGAGACTGACGAACTTTATTCAACTCTTGCTCTAGTTACTTATTTAATCGTCCAACGTATGATATTTATAACATTCGTTTATAAACATTACCGGCAGTATTCATGTAGTAATTTTTAAAGTGTAATGCCAAAAACGATAGGCGTTTCCACAATTTTAGCCACTACTTTATCTTCCCTTTTCATGCTTTCAACCAGAGTGCAAAGGTGGAATCAAACAAGTCCCCTCCCTCCATAAACAATGTTCGGTTCTTAAATTCTGTCAAAGGAGCTTTATAGCAAGAAGCTAGCTCTAGAAATGCCACCTGATTCAGTTTAATATCCCTCTATACGGATCTCAAAACCACAGTACAAACGGGGTGTGAAATAACAGGTGATTTCGATGGTGAACAAAACACACCAGAACACTCGTCTATCGTGCCATGGCAGTGCATTCAGTGAGACAAGGGCGCTGTAAACAGAGAACTTTTTTAAGCTCAATGTCCCATCTAACCTTTCAGGTTTACACGGAAGTGATCCTCCTTCCACACTGTCTGAACTGCAGCTGAAGCAAAAGAGCAGGTGGCTGGGATGCGCACATGCAGTGAAACATACTCACACTTAGCAGGCCGCACAGCATTGCTCCAGGGTACAGCCTCAACGGCCAAAGCTGCGGAGCAAACGACAAGCAGCCAGTCAGTGAGCAGAGAAAGGGAACTGCCGCAGTGCGATGCCAGCAAGAGCTCTCATAAGCGACCTCTCTGCAAGGCCGAAGCCAAACTCTGCTCTGGGGATGACAGCTAGAGGCAGGCCTGGGACCTGCATCACGAAGATGGATGTCTTGCTCAGCCTGTTGCATTCAGTGTTAGGGAAGTTACAAAAGTACCCCATTACAGACAGAGGTACAAAGTTCAGGTCAGTACTCTGCAACTGCCTCTATACTCAACCAGTTGGTTAAAACAAAACCCAGCTCTGGATTTGTACTTTCTGAACCTGAACTTTCCACCTGTCGGTAATGGATTAAGAACATAAGAACATAAGAACATAAGAACTATACAAACGAGAGGAGGCCATTCGGCCCATCGAGCTCGCTTGGGGAGAACTTAACTAATAGCTCAGAGTTGTTAAAA